AAACATATATCAAGATTAGCAAAATTCAAATTCGGAAGAATTTCATTCTTTACTAATCCTTTTAATCGTTCTTTGGATACATGACTCAAACGTTTATGCCACAAATAAGCAGAACTTTCATTTAGTGAACTATGTTTAATTCCAACATTTTGATGAATAGTAAGCAGGGATTCCGAAAAATTATTATCGAGTTTCAATCTATATAAACCATCAATAAGAACACCAGAACCATAAAAATAGTATTCTTATATAAATTGAAACATCCATGTCCAAACTTAAAATCAAATCATGAAACATCAAGTCTTGAAAGGGAAATCAAATTCCTAGAAACTGAAGGAACATAAAGAGTCTGTAATAGATCAAGGTGATGTCCAGTCTCCAAGATCAATCGATAAGTCCTTATGCCTTCAATTTGAGCCTTCATGCGATTTCCCATGAACACGAAATCCTTATTTGGATTTGTAGTTTGGATCGTAGTGAATCCCTGCAGCATAGTGGATACATGAGTAGTTGCACCAGAATCAAGCCACCAAGTATTATTAGGAATTTCTACTAAATTTGATTCGAAACATACAAAAGCACTAAATGTACCTTTCTTTTCAAGTCAGGCTTTACGTTTCAGGCAATCTTTCTGATAGTGTCCTTCCTTTTTACAAAAATGACACACATCAGCCTTGAGTTCCTTATGAGTATCCTGTGGAACTTTAGCAGGTGCTTTCTTTTTCTTAAACTTGTTGGCCTTCACTTTAAGTCCTTTATATGCTCCTTGACCTATGAGGTTAATGGAATGACCTCCTTGTTTCTTAAGTCTTGACTCCTCTTGAGTAAGCATACTAGACAATTCACTAACATCCCACTTATCCTTAATAGTGTTATAGTTAATTTGGAATGGTCCATACTCAAAAGGCAATGAGTTCAGAATGAACTAAACCAAGAAGGTGTCATCCACTTTCATCCCTAAGGTCCTAAGTCTTGCTGCAATGTTAGTCATCTCGATGATATGATTTTGCATACTACGTGACCCATCAAACTTCATGGTCGTGAGTTCAGCCATTAGTGTACCAGCGAGAGACTTATCAGCAGAACGAAAACGTTCTTCCACAAACTTCAGGTATTCCCTGGCACTTTCTGTTTGTGGAATAGTACTCTTAATGTTGTTAGCAACAGTCATTCGCATGAACATAAGGCTTAATTTGTTAGAGCGTTCCCATGATTTATGAAAAGGCTTCTCATCCTCACTACTCTTATCAGTAATGACAGTAGGTTTGTCATTCAGCAGAGCCAAGTCAATATCCATTACATCTAAGTGGAACTGTACTTGTTCATGCCATTCAGAGAAGTTCAATCCATTGAACACAGTAACAGACGAAGCATGCAAATGAAGAGGAATAACTGCAAAATAGATATACATGCTCACAAATCAGAAAATAATGTGAATTCAGTAAAGCGATAAAAATATATCGTAATTCTCCTTCGAGTAGATCCTACGACACATTATCATAATTTAAATGCCAATTTTATCTTTAATAGGTAATTGAATATTTTTTAATCAAACATATGCGATATCTTTGGATATACCATATATGTTTGACTAAAAAGATTAATTTACCTCATAATTTTCACTATTCGTAGAATGATTGATTCATCTTTGGGTAAATTCTTAAGTTCTAGCAATAGTGAAAGTCAATTTATCTATCTATCTTCAATATAGGCATTTCATTAACTTTCATAGATAAATGACAATTTTATGAATGCACATTTTTATTAATCATACTAGTTTGGCCACTTTGGTGACTAACAAACTATATAAATACAAATGCACACATAATATCATAAAATTTTGTGCATGTGAATAATTTTATACATTTTAGTTTGGTCACTTTGGTGACTAACAAACTATAGAAACATAATAAATGCATCAAGTGATCATAAACATGATATGTGTAGACGTCAATTTATCTAGTTTGGCCACTTTGGTGACTAACAAACTATATAAATACAAATGCACACATAATATCATAAAATTTTGTGCATGTGAATAATTTTATACATTTTAGTTTGGTCACTTTGGTGACTAACAAACTATAGAAACATAATAAATGCATCAAGTGATCATAAACATGATATGTGTAGACGTCAATTTATCTAGTTTGGCCACTTTGGTGACTAACAAACTATTTTGCACAAAAAATACGCACATATTATTTATTGCTTAGTATAACGACCACTTTAATTTATTGAACGATTTGAAACAAAACATATTAATTATGTCACAGAAAAATTATTATATGGTATACAAATTCATACATTCTTACGCAATATCTCATCAGAGATCATAATATTCTGCAGACTTATAAAGTTGGAAATCATAAATGTATGCGGATATGCAAAATACGTGCACAAATTGTTCAAAAACAAGAAGAAATAATTTGTGGGAAATTCGTCAGAAGATTGGTTCACTCATGCACATGACTTTATTTATGTTTTGACCAAATTTTCAATAATAAATTAGTTATTATTTGTTTATTTACTTAAGGGCTAAGATCACACACGTCTTAAACAAAACCTTTCCATACGCACAAAGGTTTGAGGCACTGATTCGTTGACATTATCGTATCAAAATTCCATTGCGTTACATGATAAATACTTTCATATATATGTAAGATTATTCGTTCAAACAATTCAGGCTCAGATGCCACATGTAAGATTAAATACTTTCATGATCTTGAACACGATAATCTTACATAGAGATTGTTAGGGGCACATACCTGATGCGGAAGACATTATCACAGAGAGAAGCGGAAGCGTTAGTCGTAAATTGATTTCTACCTCCTTGTCCTAACTTTATGTTACCACAACCGTCAGCGATGGAATTATTGTAGAGAATATGTGATAACCCTAATGGGTGGAGGGAGGACCAATTTATAGAGGTTATGACTTAATCTAGTACGTCCATCAAATAATCAATGTACGGACGAGATATATTCCTTATTAAATATTATTTATGATATTACTTGCGTTACAAGTAAACTTGGGCCATAAGTAAAAAATAATTAATAATAATTCTTACACTCAGAATTAGTTTTTCACAATTACGGGGACATTGTGGGAGAGGATACTACTAAATTAGTGAGGTCTTTATTTTGTGGGCAAGAGTTGTCCGAATTCATTACACATACCAATGTCGTACTTGATTTCAAGAAAGAATAATGTACAAGAATTCATAGACTTGAGGCCTATCATTTTGAGTACATTAACTGATTAGAATATTTCTGGAATGCTTCATGAGAGATTAGTTGGGGTCGTGTCATTGATAATATATCAAAATTAATCTGGCTTTGTCAAATGAAGAAGCATAACAAAAAATATCTTGTTGGAAAAAAAAATCATCAAAGACATTAACCTTAGGAACAATAGTATCAATATAATGTGAAACTAGATGTAACACGTCACGACTCTATTCTTAAAATTTGAATCATTCGTTGTAAGTATATAAGCTTGAATCAGGTGATGTCCTACTTGTGCTTATGTGTAAAGGTTCATTCCTGTGTGTGGGAAGTATATTGAAAGTGGTTTAGGATCATAAGATCCCTCTACTACCAAGTCTAGTTCAAAAATCTTCCTCCCAACTAAATTTTTCGCATTAGTTCATAAAAGGGTTAACTTCAAAAAACTATATCTCTCATCAAATAATGAATTAGGTGGCTCATGAACTATAATTAAAGTTATATGAGTCATGTTTCAATGACACCAAGTTTGCACCATTTGTAGTGTGGGTAAAAAGTCCTGACCATTTTTATTAGAGACTACCACAACATAATTTTTAGATTCTGATACCTAAGAACCTCATTTATGGGTTATAGAAGTATGACCCGTACTGTGAAATCTTAAAATAAACTTTAGAAATTTAATTTTTTGGTCTGATTCTTATGGACCGAGTTACGGGTTGTAAAATCATCTATGGACTATAATTTGGGCTCATAAAATGATGTTCTGAAACCTATTTTCGGGTATGATTTCCATGGATATGATTACGATTTGTAAACCCAATTACAGGCCGTAATTTTAGCCTACATAATGAAATTCAGAAACTCAAAGTCTTAGTCTGACTTCCATGGATGGGATCTACAACCCGTAGATCAAACCATGGACCATAGATGGCCTCATGGAAGGTTTCTGACAACTTTTTAATTGGGGTTTCTTTTTTAAAAAAATCCCACTTTTCCTAAGTCTAAAGCCACAAAATTACCCATATCCTAAAAGGGGTTTCATGCCCAAGACTCGGTTCCTACACTCATAACTCCCTCAAACTCAGAAACTACATAAGCAAGGCATACATTAGGGCTTCAAGTCTTTCAAGCAAGTTCTTCTTTCAAATCTCAATCTCTCAAGCATGTAAGGCTTCAATGAGAGAAATCCTTCACTCTCATAACTAAAGTATTTTGATTCTCAAAAAATTCACAGCATTACTAGAAACAAAGCTAGGGTTTTTATGAAATTATGATCTTTCTTCAATAGTTTACGTTTTCATTTTTTCACTTTGGTTTTAAAATATTATTATACTACTTAGCATGACTTTTATGGTCATTCAAACCTTTGTGACTTTTAAGCCAGAAAACTAGTATGATAAGAGTTTCAACCTAAATTTAGGTTATTTTAGGTACGACTTTCGAGCTTAGTCTCACATATAATTCAAATAGATACATGATTTTCATACCTATAAGCATTATATGAATATATGTTATTTTGGGAAGACTATTTAGTAGCGAGAGGACACGTGTTTATGAAACTCAAGTCTCATAACTACGTGTCATCGTAGGTTTATGTTTCACCACTTTGATGATTGACCATAGTCATGCCTTCAGCCTACACCCTGGACGTGACCGACACTTGAGAATCATTGCTTGTCTCCAAGAGAACCCTTGGCATGGCTGACTACTTAGCAGAATACTTAATCAAGCAATGATAGGCTCAAAATAGAATTAAATCAATTAAACTCAAATACTGATTTAATAAAGACTGGAAAATACTCAATAATAATATAGTTTGTTAAAAAACTTACAAGAAAATAAATGCTAAGAGACACCTCGTACTATTAACGAAGGATGTCGGGACAAGACGCACGACATCTCAAAAACTAGTAACTAGAAAGTAAATGTGAAGTCCTCAGGAATGCAAGGAGGCTAACCAAAAGCTAGATGGAGTATAGAGTGATCTTAACGAAGCTTGATAATCTTGAACACCTGTATCTGCATCATAAAATGATGCAGGTCGAATAACATCAATATTTTGAATGTATGAGTATGTAATATAGCCGAAACGAACATAACTGAATGAAGGGACTGCAATAGATAAGATATACTCAAGCTGAATGTAAAGAAACAAAGCAGGTAAACCATTTAAAATTTTACAAAATACTTATTCATCTCTGAACTCAACATAATATGTGATATATTAAAATATACTTTAAATCTATTGGAAGATTCTGAAACCAACAACCATCACTATGAGCTACGTGATGATACAACGTCTCGCCCATGCTTCCATAACTTTCCTATACCGTGTCGAGGTATAGAACCTCTCAAAAGTGGATCCACTAAGCAATAATGATTCATCTAAAAAGTATGATCTTATACCCATGTTTGCAAGACATTGTTTATGAGGATTTTGAGTTGTCTAAACTCATCCTCATATCGGTACTCAATACTACTCCCAATAATATATATACTCATGCTCAAATATAAAAAACATACTCTTTATCTGGTTTGAAATAACTACTCAAACTATCCTCTTAAAAGAGGTAACTGCTCTAAAATATCTGTGAAGTCATTGCTCATTTAGAAAACAAGGTTTCTCTTTGCTCAATGTAAAAATACTTTCTCTGGGTTGAGATAATTACTCAAAAAGACCTCTTTAAGAGGTAACTGTTATGTACTCAATCTTTTTTTTAAACTCTTTTACTTTTCTCAAAAGAATACTCTCTTTATTCATGTAAATATGAAACATTTGGAAAATACTTAGTTCCCTTATACTCTTCCTCAAATCTTGGTTAAAACTCTTTCTCAAATTCCTCTTTACTTTCTCAAAAATTCAGTTTAAAACAAAAATGTTTTCTTTATAAGATTCTCAAAATTTATAACTCAAAATAGAGTTCATGCTGAAATATAGGGATGAATAACTCAACTCAAGGATCTCAATAATAATATAAAAAAACTCAATACTCAGACCTTAAGAACTCAGAACTCAACTACTTATCTTAAGAATACTCAATTAATAGGGTTCATGCTAAAATATAGATATGAATCAATCAACTCAAGAATCTCAATGCATAACATAGAGAAATTCAATAATTAGGAACATAATTCAAAAACAATCAATAACTCAAGAACTTAGAACTCAACATCAACTCATCTCAAGAATACTCAAATTTAAGGATAGAATCCTAAATTACTCTTTTACTGATTTGAAAGTAGATGTAGGGAGTGAGGACGAACTAGTCCATTATTATGATAGTATTACGTACCTGGAAGAACAAAGTTCTTGGCAAAATCGATGAAATTCGAAGAACGCTTAAAACCCTAGCTTATTCTCCTCTTGAAACCTTTCTCTAAAGATTTGAAGTGTTAATGAATTTAAAAGAACTGATTAACACCTTCTAAGCCCTTAACTAGGTGTAAAACATCGTGGTTTAGACTTAAAATAGGGATTAAAACGACGTAGCTTAGGTAACAAACACATAGGGGAAAGAACAAAACGACCCTAATTTAAAAACTAATGAAGTCCCCTAAAAGGAAGGCTTCACGGATCGTTTTGGGTTCCACGGTCCGTGAAACACTTCACAGGCCGTATAATCATCCGTAAAACTTCAACTATCTGACAAGGTCTTACTAAAACAAGCATAACTTTTAACTCTAAACTTGAAATAGAGAAAACTTGGTGGAGTTGGAAATAGGACTCGTAGACCTTTAATTTGATAGGTCATGAGCCACCTAATTCGTTATGTGCCGAGAGATATGGTCATTTTAAGTTGACCCAAGTAAAATCTCATATTGAAACTCAATCGGTAAGAAGACTTTCAACTCAACATTGTGCTAGGAAATTCTAGTGACCTTAATTCATATCCAAAATCATTTCTATACTAAAGAATTGAACTTAACACGTAAGAACAATTAAGAATCACTTGGTAAGACCTTATACACAAATGAAGAATGGGTGCGTAAGAATAAATGTTGTCAAACCCTAATAAGAATGACACAATTATTTTGAATTGAGGAAGTATTGCATTTGAGGGATAAAAATTGAATAAATATTGGCAACTGTTATTTGTTAGATTGCACAAATATATTTGGACATCTACCAATTTAAGAAGCAACAAACGGCGTGAAGATTGATGATAAAGTGGAAGAATTTTAGAGCTTAAGTAAAACTCTCATGACGCAGATCAAATGCTAAATAGATTCTACGAAATGTGGAACTAATGAAAAAATATTGCTGGTTAAAAAAATAAGATTATACTCGAAGGGACTTAGAAGAGTTTGAGAGGGTAGAAGTTTAAACACCCAAGTTTTTTAATTTGGGACACTCGGAGCTTGCACGAGCTTGAAATAATTATGCTCTAGAGTCATTAAAGTGTGTTAAGCACGGAGAAATTATTATTATATGAAATGAAAAATGTATAAACATGACATAAAAATTTGTAAAGATGCCATAAGTAATCAAATAGTAAATAAATAAAGGCAAATAATTATCTCTTCTAAAAACAAAAAATAAATAAAGATGATGTTAGTAATAATCAATTAAAATTATGTTTCATATAAGTCACGTAGCAAGTAAGCTAGCAAATATTTATGAAGCATGTAACACAAGTATATTAAATAATGTGTCCCATATATAGGTGACATCTTTATGACAAAGGTAGGCCTAACATGTATTTGAAAAATAAATATGCCAAAATATGTCATTCCATTTCTCTTTAATTAATTAAATGAATCTATTACCCAAATTAAGTACAAAAATAAACTTAAGCTTTATTACATGTAAAATAAAATAAAATAATAAAGTTCTCCATCGCATCTACACATTTTCGTCTCATGACATGCTCGTGGCTTAATCTTCATAGGCCAAAGCTTAAGATCTGTAGCTATATGCATTATAAAAGGGTTAGTAATATCCTCCATCCTAAAGTTTAATTAATTTAGAACAAACGGTCCATATTTTGACACAACTATTTTCAATAATGCACACATAAATAATAAGAGTCACTCGGGATTGTGAACTCACTTGAACATTTGGATAAAACTGACTAATGAACTTAATATACCAATGATATTAAGTCTCTTAAGTTTACATGATGCATGAATCATAAAATGTGTTGGTTTAGCTCTATCCTAGATAGATTAAGAGGGGGTGTACTAGACGCAAGGTTCCTGAGTGGACAACTCGAGTGAGTAGGCTACACGGTCACACGAAAAAAAATCCGTACACCCCTCGCATATGTCAACTCTCCTAAAATAATTAAGCTCAAGAATGTTTGAAAACATTCAACTAGCCAAAGAAGGAAACTCAAGTCTTAAACATTAATAATGGAAATGGAAAATACTCCTCGAAACACTACTGTCTATGAAGCTTCTAATAACTATGCTGGAAGTCGAGATAAGATTCACGACATCCTAACAAAATAAAACTGAAAATCTCAATGTGTAACACTCTGAAAAGCAAGGAGGCTCACCAAAGCTAGCTGAAATATGATTGGATCAACTGAGTACCGGTTGATGATCTTGAATACTTGTATCTCCATCATGAAACAATGCAGTCCAAATGGCATCAGATCAATACATTGAATGTAACAGCATGCAAGGGGGACTCTGAAATATAAACATAAACTTGAATTGGAAGAAAGGAAGACACTCACCTCGTCTCAACTCAACATGAAAGCAATGATAAAAGATGCAATGAATATATCAAACTTTAAAAAAAGTAAGTAATAACTCAGATGTATATAAAAATACAATAATAAACTCTTTACTTTTATTTGGGAGATTCTCTAACCCACAACCATCACTATGAGCTACGTGATGATGTAACGTCTCGTCCACGCTGCCAAAACTTTCATATACCTTGTCGGGGTATAGGACATCCTCAACTAAGTGGGTCCACTAAGTTATGCTTAAAAGCAATAAAGAATCATCTAAAAAATATGACCATTTATCCATGTATGCACATGATTTATGAGCATTTTGAGTTGTCTAATTAAACCCATCCCCATATCGGTGCTCAATACTACTCCCAATAATATATAACTCATTCTCATATGTTTAAAAACATAACTCATCCTCAACTTGAGATTATTACTCAAAAAGATTCTCTTAAAAAAGATAAAGCTCAAAAACTCCTCATGAACTCGTTTAGAAAACAAGATTAGAAGCTCAAAAAATGTAAATTGAAGAAAAGAGGGTCAAAATTGGGTATCAACATCAACAATGTCAACTAGCAGTTAATCAACGGGATAAGAGTCTGAAAAATACCTTAACTTTGGTCGAATTTGCTGTTGCAATACTAAACTTTCATGAGGACCTATTACCTCATTAGACTATTTAATACCATATTTTAAACATATATATTTGTCCACGTGGACATAAAAAATAATGCAAAAATTATAAATAGTAATGTGTCCAAGTGAGCACATATATACCTTTAAAATACACTATTAAAATAATTACAGAGATAAAAAATACGGTATTAAATAGTCTAGAGAGGTAATAAGTCCTTATGAAAGTTTAGTATCATAACAGCAAATTCGATCAAAATTGAAATATTTGTCAGATCGTTATCCCTTAATCAACTCATCATGGTAAAGTACCCTTCGATGAGGAGGATTCCAAACCACTTGGAAGGGATGGTTGATATCTACAACATTATAGACCGCCACTTCATTATTATCATATTGTGAAGTGAAACCTATCAAAGATTAGGTGGGTGAAGTGCAATATATATGGGGCTAGCAAAGGCAATCCAGGGAACTACTCTTTTACGCAAAGCAAATTAAGGACATTTAAATTGCAACTATCTTGGAAGCTTAGTCGATGGCCATTTGGAATGCCATCCAGTTTTGCACTCTCCATAACTTCAACAACATCATTCTGGAGACTGATTCACTAGGTCTCAAAAAGATGATTGTTGGAGAATGCAAAATACCCTGGGAGCTAATAGAGAGGATGGAGGAAATCAAAGATTTAATGAACAGATCAACATTCAGGTCAAACATATTTTCAGGGAAGTTAATCAACTAGCCGATTACATCACCAACATAACCATCAATCAAGCAGAGGAAAAAATTCCAAACTAAAAGGATCACCGTTAAAAAAACCAGGGTTTTGAAACTGAATTGGCAAGACTCAACTCGTACACAACTGAGTGATCAAACGGAGGAACCTGGGAGCAAGTTAGTTTTCTCATCCACTACATCAAGTAGATTCAACAAAAAAGTTATCACTCTAGATAATGAAAGAAAAATGGGAGAACTGGATTAACTTACTGTGAGCTACAAAACTTAAATACCCAGTTCTAACCCCTTTTCGAGTTTATCACAAACTCTTAAACCTCCACTGAAATACACACCTGAAAATTTGGGATGCCCATCAGCCGGGATTTTTGAACAAATATCAGGAATAAAAAATGAAATAGCTACTTCTACAAGTTGAGGATGAAGATCGAGAATCACCGGTGAAGAATATTGATCACCCAGAGGACGAGCTGGTGAAGGTCTTTGTTATGAAGGGTGCGAAGCGACATTTTGGTGGTGGGAGCGGAGGAGACAAAGCTGAAGTTGCTTTCATTAGGAAATCCTATTTTTAGGGTGTTCAGTCTATCTGAACTTGGTCACTTTTGGACCGAGTTTATGTGTAAGTATTTTTTGCTTCCTTTTTCTTTTCCAGTTTATTTTTTGAGAAAATTACGCGGTTAAACAAATTTATACTATTTAATTACTCATCATAGCTATAGTTTGCTATAATTATTACTCGCGACTAACATTAACTTTAATTACGTGGACTGCTTTCGAGTTTGTATAATTAGCCACATTTGTATATGTATAATTCGCCACATTTGTATAATTCACAACTAACAATTCTTTGTTTGATTTGTATTTGTATACGATGATCTGTATTTGTATATGACGATGTATTTTCCTTTTGGTTTTTCTAGTTTTGTCATCATTTACATTCAATCTTTTGTGTATAACTTTTTAAAGTTTGTATAAACGAGTAGTTTTCGGATTTTGTATAATATATTTTGTATAATTGTTTAAAGTTCATATGTTTATGTTTGTATCAATTCGTTATTTTGAGTTTTATTATATTTGTATAATTTCAGACTTTATACTACTCAATTATACAAAAACATGTGAATTATACAAATGTACCTATACAAATTATTGTCCTCTCTTTCTCGCCTCTCTCGCCAGAATATACAAATACATATGTATAATATATAATTATCTAACCGATATACATATACAATTCACCTTTCTCCCACTCTCAGCCCTATGTCGCTCACCTCTCTCTTCCCTCTCCCAGTCTCGTTCGCCACTCTCCTTCTTATAACATGTAGTTACGAATTGTAATTAGCAAGCTATAACTATGGAGCGAAATTAGGCTATTTTTGAGTGGCTTATATTCGAAAATTCCTCTTATTTTTTGGGTTCTTTTAGAGCCTTTTGGACTGATATTGAATAAACGGACCTTAGTCCATAATTTGCATAAAAAAGTGTTCCGAGCAAAAATTTGTGCTGGTAACGTGTTATAAATAATAAAGCAAGAAGAAGAATATTGAAAAGAAAGGTAGGGAGAAGGGATGACAAATCTATTAATGAGAACACGTGTATTAATAAGAAAAAAATTAACCTGGTGCCAAAGTAACTACTATAACTTTTTTGAAAAATAAAATAAATTAGAGATTCAAAATATTATATAAAATATATTTATAAGAAATGCTCCCTTCATCTTCAGATTTCGAGATCTGAATAAGTTTTTCTTTGATCGTATATTTTTTTATAATATATTTTTTAAAAATTGAATTATTTATATGAATTGTACTTTTTACTTAGTACTGTAAAAAATTAATGATTTGACTCTCAAAATTTAAATGTGACAAGTAGAAACATAGGCTAACTAACATTTTCACTTACGCAACTAGGATATGGAACTTGGGCTAACACAGTAAGTAAAGGCTCGACACATAATGTGAATAGAAGGTTAATTAGAAGTGTTAGTATCATTAGTTGTGGACAAATAATTTGGCAACTACTATAGTGTGACAATAACAATAATAACATGAGTGGAGAGAGCACAAAACCGTACATAGTGAAGAAATGCATTGCTCTTTTGCTTTCATGTGCTTCCTCTACTTACAAATTCAAGCAAGTTCATGCATTTTCCATCAGGCGCCGCATCCCTTTATCAAGCCCAGAAATGGGCAAATACTTGATTTTCACTCTAGTTTCTCTTTCAGGTCCAATGTGTTATGCTAAAAAAATCTTTAATCAAATTCAATTTCCTAATATATTCACTTGGAATACAATGATTAGAGGTTATGCTGAGAGTGAAAATCCATATCCAGCAATTGAAATACATAACCAAATGTGTGTTAATTATGTTGCCCCTGACACACATACATACCCTTTTCTTCTAAAAGCTATTGCCAAGGTGATTGATGTTAGGGAAGGAGAAAAGGTGCATTGCATTGCAATTAGAAATGGGTTTGAATCGTTGGTGTTTGTTCAGAATTCTTTGGTTCATTTTTATGGAGCAATTAGTCAAGCTGAAAAAGCACATAAGGTGTTTGAGGAAATGTCTGACAAGAATCTTGTGGCATGGAATTCAGTGATTAATGGGTATGCTTTGAATAGTCGACCTAATGAGACGTTGACCCTTTTTAGGAAAATGGTTGTGGAAGGTGCTAGGCCTGATGGGTTTACTTTGGTCAGTTTGTTGACTGCTTCAGCTGAGCTTGGTGCGTTAGCGTTGGGTAGAAGGGCACATGTGTATATGTTGAAGGTGGGATTGGATAAGAATTTACATGCTGCAAATGCACTTTTGGATCTTTATGCTAAATGTGGGAATGTGAAAGAGGCAGAGCAAGTTTTTCATGAGTTGGAGGAGGATAGTGTAGTGTCTTGGACATCTTTAATTGTAGGTTTGGCTGTCAATGGTTTTGGTGAGAAAGCACTTGAGCTTTTCGAGGAAATGGAAAGAAAAGGATTTGTGCCTACTGAGATCACATTCGTCGGGGTCTTGTATGCCTGTAGCCATTGTGGTTTGGTGGACAAAGGGTTTGCTTACTTCGAAAGGATGCAAAAAATGTTTGGAATTAAGCCGAAAATTGAGCATTATGGCTGCATGGTTGATTTGTTAGGAAGGGCTGGTTTAGTCAAAAAGGCATACAAGTATATTAAAGACATGCCATTGCAACCCAATGCTGTGATTTGGCGAACATTACTTGGTGCCTGCTCAATACATGGTCATTTAGCTCTGGCAGAGATGACTAGAAATCACCTTAAGCTGTTAGAACCTAATCATTCTGGGGATTATGTGCTCCTTTCAAACCTTTATGCAGCCGAGAGGCGTTGGTCAGATGTGCATCAACTAAGGACCACTATGCTTAAAGAAGGGGTGAAAAAAGTCCCAGGGCATAGCCTTGTTGAGTTAGGAAATCGGGTGCATGAATTTGTTATGGGAGATAGGTCCCATCCTAAAAATGAGGCTATATATGCTATGCTTGGAGAAATGACTAGATTACTGAGATTGGAAGGTTATGTCCCTCATACATCAAATGTGCTTGCTGATATAGAGGAAGAGGAGAAGGAGACTGCTTTGGCTTACCATAGTGAAAAAATTGCAATTGCATTCATGTTGATTAGTACACCGCCTGGGACCCCTATTAGAATTGTGAAGAACTTAAGGGTCTGTGCTGATTGCCACCTTGCCATTAAACTAATATCTAAGGTTTTTGATCGCGAGATAGTGGTTAGAGATCGTAGCCGGTTTCACCATTTTACCAATGGATCTTGCTCTTGTAAAGATTATTGGTAGGACATAATTGTGGAATTCGAACTGGACTTTGCATAAGTTGCTTAAATTAAAGCATAGCCTTCTGAAAAAACAAGATGGTGGAGAACAAGATCTGACAACATCTACGTTCTGTGCTCGAGGAAAGGTTACGGAGAGCAAGATATGAATTTCTAGGTCATTGCTTGGTGGACAGATATGTAAACTCTATACGTTCTGAAGAAAAATTCCTCAACTCCCTTCTACAGTGTTTTGGGTATCATATCAAGAGATCGTCCTGGGCTCTATATAAGTCACAAAAAAGGGAAGGTGTTTTCTGATCCTAAGCAAATGGGATTCATTCACTTTTCACTAAGCCTTTAATAACATCAGATGATTGCGCATTCTTTTCAGCTAGTATGGATATATACTCAGTATTCTTGCATAATCTGCTAGATTTTAGATGTTAATACCCAATTGACAGCTATGTTCCATGTTACAGCAGGTATAAATCAAGTATCTAAGAGTTCTTCCGAATTCCTTTCATAACCTGTTGATACACATTCCATTTCTAGTTGACAATGACCTACATGGGTTCTCAAACTTTTATGCTCAAAATAAATAAATATCTTTTTAGGTGTCTTCTAGGCCCAACATGCTCCCACAACAACAAGATGCATGGTCGGGACACACAGCCCTGGAGCTGAAGTATCCAGATCTTTTAGGTTAGTGGAAGCAGTTGAAGCAACTGTTGCCCAGTGTAGATCAGGAAGTGAGTGGATTGGGAATTTTAGAATAAACTGCTTTGATTGGGAAGTAACAAGCATGTCCATGGAAAATGATCTGGAATGGGTTGCTTCAGTTGGTTGTTGAAGCATGATGGCATGTTTGACTAGTGGTGGCATAGTTCCAGAAACCAGACAAAGATCAATCATGGGGTGGACTAAATTGCCTGGAGGACTTCTGTATTGCATAGAGAATCACTTACACTGTTCACCAGGAGAAGTCCTCCATGCCTGAAGTCTTTGTTAGCCATCAATAATGATTCGATCAAAATTGCCAATCCTGGCCAACCTTCTGTTCTGCTACAAAGTTTCTTCATTCCTATGATAATGAATTTCATGGCTTAAGTGCGGTTTTGTCCAAAGATAAAATAGAAACTTTGAAGAAGTCTCGGATCTCCAGCCTTCATTTCAGCTCATAATTAATGACAGGTCTATTGAACTACAAAACTACCCAAACTTCTGAGGTCTTTGACCCAGGTATGATCAATGGTAAAGTTGATTCAGGCTTCTGGCCAGATGTGCTATTTAGCTATAAGGATGATGGTATGCCTGAAATCCCAAAAAAGATGGAAGGGAATTGAAGTTTAGCCAAAAAATCATTTTTTTTTATCCATTGTTTGCCTCACCTTTAGTATTTTTAATCGGTTTTTAGTACAAATTATAGGGTATTGTTGTACTTAATATTGTGTGTTTAGGGCCGTTTCGTAGAGTGCATAAGAATAGTACTTAATAAGGTGTATTAGTATTTAGTAATGCCGAAATTAGTATTGCTGGGCTTGTTTCTTATACAATATTTGGTTTGATATGTTAAAAATAATATGTATTCCTATATTTAGTTAAAAATATTGTTTGTTTACAAAAATACCCTCCACTTTCTATGGCTCTGTATATTTTCTTTGCAACCTTTCTTTCTTTATTCATTTTGATATTATCACTTGAATTATTTGAGGGTAAATAATTGTCATCTTAAACAGTAGTAAAATTAAATAAACCATCTATGTTTACTCATAAAAATTGCAAGTTGTAGTTTTAATCTGTATACAATTTTATAAATTGTTCAAAATACAAATAATTAGAAAATCATATATATATATGACCAAACAATACATTCAATTAAGATCACAAACGTCATGTGGTCATATATTGTACTGATTTGTATTAGATTTATTTAGCAACAAACAACTCTCTCTAAATAATAAAATTTGTAAACTAATTTATTTAAATAAATTTACTAGTACAAATATAAAACATAAAACTAAGAAAATAAACAAAATGATAAGAAGGATTTGAAAGGTATTTTTATCTTTACATATATTAATCTCATGATATTAAATTCTATGTATTACTAATACCACCAAATGAAAGGTATTAGTTATACACCCTATAATACCAAATAGAGTATATAACTAATACAACTAATACAATATAACTAATATAAGCCTAAAAATTGCACCTAACATAATACTAAATAATACAACATATAATACATGAACTATTTCTCCTAATACACTTTACCAAACGACCCTAATATATACGATTAGAACAGTGGAAAGATAAATTCAGAGCAAAAATTTATTGAAGCTCACATTAAATTTTAATTCAACAAGGAATAAAAGTAAGGAGTAAAACCTAATGATCGAAGGGAGACACCTGACCTAAGTTCTTGATTAGATAGGAGACACATGACATAAGTTAGGAGTAATTACTAACTTAGACCATCTCCAATCCACCTCTATTTTACTCTCCATTCTCTATATTTGGAGAGTAAAATAGAGAACGAGCACTCCAAACCCTACAACACTAGTTCTCCAAATTTGAAGAACTACTATTTACATTCTCTATTTCACTTTTTGAATATTTTATTATTATATCTATTACTTTCTAATTAACATATTATTTTACATATTGTCTACTATTAAATATCTAATATTCATAATTCTTTTTAAATATAATATAATATTTTAAAAAATACATTATTTAATATATACTACTTTCATCCCGAATTAATAGTTTTTAAATTTTTTCTAATTTTCGTCAATAATATAATTTGATTTTATTATTAATTTTCACTATCAAGAATACACAAAATTAAAATGATAAGATGAAAAATTTAATTTAAAAATGCAATACATAATATGACAATTTAAATACAAGATAACAATACAATACATAACATATTAATTTAGATACAAGATAAACTACAATACATAACATAATAATTAATTTATCACAACAATATTTAGTAATCCGGTAGGCCGTTTCCAGATTTATCACAACAATAATTTAGTAATCCGGTATGTTTATGTAATGTTTATTGTAATTGTATTTCTACTTTTATTTTGTAATTTGTTCATTAATATATATATATATATATATATATATTCAGAAATAAAATATAAATTTAAATTAAATAAAAATTTTATATCACATGACAATTATATAAAGTAATTATTGGGAAAAAGAAATAAAAGACTTATATTATGAAATAAGAATGAAATAGAAATAATAATAATGTAACATTGAGGAGAGAGAAAAAAAATTATTTTTAGAGAAAAAATAGAGAATTGGGTTAGTTGTCTAAAAAAATAGAAAACTCTATATTTGGAGTGTAAAATAGAGTGTAGGGTTGGAGATGCTCCACTACTAAAATATGGCCCTAACATGATTTAAATAATTAATATTTTATATATTTTCTTTTATAGGCCTATTTTGTTGATTTTTTATTTAACAATTTTCTTGAGGAAATTGAATTATGTGGTAAAAATCTCAAAGAACTCTTTGTGATAATTATTTTTGGTGTTGCCAACATTTTTTACAGCAGAAATATGTTTTGGCACGAAAAAGAAGTAAAGAGATTAAATAAATCGGAGATATAATTGAGAATATTCATAAATTGATAAGAACATATTTAGTATCTAAATCGTAGTTAGGATCTTGCTTTAGTATATTAAATCTTAGCCATTAATCTAGTTGGGCACGAAAAATTCCGATCTGATTAGGAACTTGCGAAAAAATTGAGAGGACCACTATTTGAGATTTTACACAATTTAAGACTTGTCTGATTTAATTTTGAACTGAACTAAGATGCAGTCCTTTTTAGTCTGTTTAAAAAAGAATGACCCCTTTTATCTTTTGGTAACATTTTACTTTCAACTTTCCACGTGGCATGTTTAAGACCACAAGATTAAAGGACAATTTTGTACATTTGACATAACTTTAATTTAGGGCCACAAGATTCAAAAGTCTTCATTATTTTCTTAAACTCCGTGCCAAGTCAAACTAGGCCACTTTTTGTGAAACGGAGGGAGTATCTAAATGTAGTTAGGATCTTGCTTTAGTATATTAAATCTTAGCCATTAATCTAACTTATGTCATGTGTTTCCGATCTGATTAGGAACTTGCGAAAAAATTGAGAGGACCACTATTTGAGATTTTACACAATTTAAGACTTGTCTGATTTAATTTTGAACTGAACTAAGATGCAGTGGCGGAGCCAAACATTTTATGAAGGGTGTGCAAAATTTTAAAAAGTAACTAACAATTTTATTTTTTTAGTGGATTCACATTCGCCTTGCTCAACCTAAACCTAATGATTTTATTATAAACATTATAAATAATTTGTTTTCCATCGAATACAATTTGTCTAATTTTTTATCTTCAATTTGAGAACTCAATTAATAAAAAAAATCTTCTATATGAGTTGCGTTTCGTTATAAAAATGCATGGTATATTTTATGGGAAACTAAGCAAATACCCCATAAAAATAAAATAATTACAAACATATACCCTTTTACATTTATACCACACTAAATAATTACGCTATATACCCCATTTTTTATCTTCAATTTGAAAACTCAATTAATAAAAAAAATCTTCTATTTGAGTTGCGTTTCGTTATAAAAATGCATGGTATATTTTATGGGAAATTAAGTAAATACCCCATAAAAATAAAATAATTACAACCATATACCCTTTTACATTTATACCACACTAAATAATTACGCTATATACCCCTGCCCCCTACAAACTAATTTCACTTAACTGATACTAAATAAAAAATATATCATGTTTGGATAGAAAGAAATCAGAGAATTTTTCAAGCCAAGAGCAGTACATCCTTGTCAAACACAAGGAGAATCATACAAGAGGTGTTTGTCAGAGGACTCTGTTATCCAAAAAATGCAAAAAGACTGGAAGGGCTGAACTTTTATCCTTCGTTTCCTAGGCTTGGTGATTGACTATGGTGTTAGATGTAGTAGGAGATAGTGTTTTGATTGATCCTTGGCTGTCATGCCAGAGTAGTTTTTGATATTGTACAAGAACAACAATTTGGTAATGAAAATTCCTTTTAATTGCCAAAATAAATAAATTATATATTGTATTGGTATTATTAAGCCTAATAATTTCACTTAATTGATACTAAATCAGTATATATATATATATATATATATTCTGTATTGGTATCATTAAGGTTTCTTATTCAAAAATTACTCATTAGTCAATGATATTATACGAGTATATTGATTGATACTTGATGTAATTATCACTACGAATTACGAATGAAAGTGCGGAAATCAAAGACAAGAAATAAAGATAGATAGATAGACACAAAAAGAGGAAATAGAAAACAACCAAAAGGTATATTAAACCTTAAGACCTCAATCTGTTAATCCTACAAGAAGCACCTAACTCTTACGAAGACTCGAAGGAAATAAATTCACCTCGCAACCAACGTTTCTAAACAAAAGTCAACCAAAGCCTGTACCAAGCTCTCAACACTCATTCATGAGTTTCACAATATCAATATTCAAAATAGCCTACCTAAAATGAGAACCCAAATTAGCTATTTATTGTTTTAGGTAATTATTACAAAAGAGTCCCAAAAGTGGCCCAAAATAAGAAATGGGCGAGCTGGGTCGACCTCGCCTAAGGGACTCGGCGAGATGACCCCTTCTCTTGGGACTTCTGGAACTTTAGGCGAGCTGGGGTCTTTGCCTAAGCAATTGGGCGAGTCGCCGAATGGATCCTGCTCGCCTAAAGTGGCAGTTTCTTCAACTGTTTTCCCTTCACTTCCCCAAGCGATCTTCAAGGCATGGAACCCTTTCTTTGCCATCAACACAAACTCAGAAACGTCTAACTTCATGAACAAAGCTTGCATTCTTTGAAGGTCCCGAGATTGACTTCGAGTGAACGGCCTTGGTGCAATCCGAATTACATCATTCTCTCCTTCTTGAAAAGAGACTCGTCCTCGAGTCCAAATCTTGCAAAACCATGTAAAGTACAAACAACAAACATATCCTCATAGCATGAAGGTTAGTACAATGGTTAGCATAAAAACATTACACGAAGGAGACTCAAACTCAAGGAACAACCAAGTATCCGTTATTATCATGATTATTAAGCCCATAGATAGAGAACAAGGAAATTGGCTATTCTTCACATCAAAGGATAATACCACCCAAAAGATGACACTTCTACAAGCTCAAATACTCCCAAACATTCACCGGGGTCAAGATAATAATAGGTCCACATAATCGAGTCATACAAACAAGTATAGACCTCAATGATACCCCGACCCAAATGCAATGCACCTTTAAGACAAATAAGAGACTCATCATATGCAAAGAGATAGTAGAGAAAGGTGTCATGCACACTGGGGTCATCTAAGGTGTACCTATATGCAAGATCACAACTAGGTTCAAGGATCCTAACACTCATTACATCACAAGATGGAGCACACAAGGACATCATGACGAATTTAAGATAAACTTCACCTTCTCTTGACAAATAACTCCTATCCCCATAAGATGCACAATCAACATGATCATACACAAAGATATAGTCAAGAAAA